ATTTTGGGACAACCTACTACAGTGTGCATGTCCCTCAACATGTAATGACTTTATTAGAACAAAGAAGGGGTTAGTAGTTGACAGCAGAGAGAATGGGCAAGTATCAGACTATTATTAGAGACAAACTGAATGTTAGCTTCAGGTTTCTTCCAACTTAAATCTGGCTACTTGTAAATGAAGGTACAATATAGCATGACTGTTTTATAAGTCATTGAGATGGTCTATTCCAGCAGACCAAACCTTAATAATAAATCCCTATAAGATTCTGACATGGAACTTTCTACAGTTTCTTGAAACAGGTAAGAGATGTGCAAGATATGCTATTGTGACACTCCTGGAAACTATAGAGGCTGATGTTCTGTCACCTGAAACCTCAGCTCAAAAGGCCAAACTAATCATACTTACACAAACTCTCATCCTCTCAGAAGGGAAGAGCTGACATCTATACTGATTCTAGGTTTGCTTTCATGGTCATGCATGCCCACAGGGCAATCTACAAGTAAAATAAACTGTTAAGACTACAGCAAAAAGATATTAAACATGCACTGAGATCCTATAGTTATTAGATGATGTAAAATAAGACTCAATAGCCTGCAATCAGCATTTCCCTGGCCATTAATGAGAACATAATGATGTTGAAAAACGTAAACTAGTCAACCAGGCAGATAAATGGGAAACAAAATTAAAAATCCCTGCTATGACTGGCCCCCTATTGCCTTAGAAAAATTTTCCTGATTTCTCACCTAACTACTCAAAGGAAGTCTGTAAACAAACAATACACTGGGGTTTTACCAAGGGATCTCCTTGAGGATGAAGTGCCTCCTTATTAATATCATCATATTAATTGAGTACTTCATATTAAGATCAGAGGCCCTTGTTCTTTGAATGCTAGAACGAGTTCACTATAGTACCCAGCACAGTCAAGGTGCCACCTTACAATGAACGCAAAACTATAAAACTATTCCTGGTCTATACTGGTTTGTGAAATTGTTAACACAAGGATGACTAATATGTGTTAAAAAATATTCAAAAGACCTCCTTATAGCTTCCAATGAAAAAACTCATTTCTAAGGAGAATTCCCTATCAAGACTGGCAGATCAGCTTTATGCAAATGCGTTCAGCCTTAGGTAACCTTCGTAACTTATTGATTTTGGTAGATAATTTTTGCATGGGTAGAGCCCTTCCCTGCCTGAAAAGAAATGGGAATAGAAGTAATGATAATACCAAGATATGGATTGCCAAAAACCATAGAGTGACAATGATCCCACATTTGCTTTACAAGTTGTACAGCAGGCACCAAATGGAAACTTCATTTAACCTGAAGGCTATAATCAACTGGTGGGGAAAAAAAAAAAAACCTTAAAAAAGAATATAGCTGGGCTGGGGATGTGGCTCAAGCGGTAATGCCCACGCCTGGCATGCACGGGGAACTGGGTTCAATCCTCAGCATCACATAAAAATAAAATAAAGATGTTGTGTCCCAAAATAAATAATAAAATAAAAAAATAAAGATGTTGTGTCTAAAAAATAAATAATAAAAAATTCTCTCTTTTTAAAAAAAAGAATATAGCTAAATTATGCTGAGAAACACAACTAACATGGTATAACATTTTGCCTATTCCCCTACTGCTGAGGATACATGTGGCTCCCTAAGGCAAGGTTAAATTAAGTCCTTTAAAAATATTATATGGTAGACCATTCCAGGCCCCATACATGACACAAATATGAATTTTTGCTCTAAAGAACAACCTATTAAAGACTATGTCCAATCTTTAGAACAAGCCTCTATGTATAAGTTTCTTACATGCCACCAGGCCCATCACATATAATATTCCACAATCTCCCTCCTGTGACAGAGTGCTTCCTATCTATATTAAATGGACAGGAACCTATGTCATTCTACTAACTGTTCACTATTGCATTACAATGGCAGGTATCAGCCTTTGATAAGTCACACAAGATCATGGAAACACCTGACATTTGTAAAGCCCAATCAGATAAATCCATACCACTGCTCTCCAAAATCCTAGCAAACAACCATAGATACAAAGATACTTCCAAATCTTAGATGAATTTATTTGCCTTACACCTACTGCGGGAGAGCTAAATCAGAGGGCTATAATCTGTTGAGAGCAACATGATCACACATATATGGCTTAGATGCACTTGGGAGTGAAGAAAAGTTCCTATTTATCAATGTCATTATGTTGTGATTTTACAGGTCTAAGACTGGTTTGGAACTGACTGAATACTCAGGTCCAAAAATACATAGTTAGCCATGGCTACATGGAATGAATTTCTGGCCCTGGTTTTCTCAGAGTTGGTTGGGGAGATGCACCATAGGGTATACTTGGATAAATGGGAGATGGGTAAAGGAAATAGATTAGTCCACAAATCTTCCCAACTTCCTACATAGCTGGACTCGATCTGTTTTTCAGTGGTATGATCATCTAGTGTCAGGATTTATTCCTCAGATTAGTCTGGAAGATGTATTGTGGTGCATGGGAAAGAAAGCTTAAATAACAGTGCTAAAAAGATCTCCTTACTTAATATAGAAGTAGCTTTGATGAAAAAAGGTGTTCTCTTAAACTGAATGGCATCAGATATTTCAACTGTATCTCAGGGAAGAACATGTGCAATTATAAAAGCTGAATGGTGAATATATATTAGAGACAATTCAGGAAACATCTCTTTAGCTCTGCAGGCCATGCACACCCAAATTAAGACAAGGACCTATGACTGCACTTTAAATCTAAATGGATGGTTTCCATATGGTTCTGGGGAAACTCTTGTGGAAAGGCTCTTACTAAAAGATTGACAGGAATCATTTGCCTGGGACTTATACCGTGCTGTGCAATGTATTGTCCCACCTACAGGGAAAATTTATACAAAAGGCTATACCAGGGGCAATGTCATGATATGACAGAACAGGAAACCTTATCCCTTAATCAGGGACCCAAAAGTGGAACTAAAGAATTTTCTGATCAGCAGATCTCTGTGGTCCCTTACTATATCCCTGTCCAGCAGAAGTAGCCAGATTGAATTGGTACCCCTCCTTTCTCACCTCATACAGGATTATGTAATGAAACAAATAGTGGAGAATGGAAGTCAATGAATATGCTAAATTGCTTCTACCACTAGCAAGTCTGTTTTTCATTGTTTCTGTTTTGCCTCACTTCGTTATTCCTCATTGCTCCCAAAATTAACTGAATTTGGTCCTGCTTGAACACTACCAGTCATATGACCTCCTAATTGGTAATGTGTCTTTAAAAGGCTTATAGGAATGCCTGACAACTTGGGGACAATCTCAAAATCATGTCAAGAGAACTTATTACTGCAAAAATTAATGACCATCCCAGTGACCACCTGGCTGTGGTTAAAATTAGACTCCCCAGAAATCCCATATAAGCTTTCACCTATGACCCTTGGCAAGATGGAATTAGAGTGACAACTCTACTTCTTCTACCTGCCACCTTGTTGCCAATTAAACTTTTTATTTTCTTTTTACTCTTTTTCTGAAGTCATGGACTTCATTGGGCAGGTTGAAACTAGATTTTTCGTGGTTTCAGTATTGTTCCCAATATCTACAACCAAGATGGGGTTATCCATCTGGTAAATCTTAGGACATAATAGTCTCCTTTCCATATGCTTGCTATTGTGCAACATTTCTTCAGAGCAAAATTCTTCTTATATACACTCTCTAGTTTTCAAAGGTTGAAATAAATTTTGCATCAATACATGAATCCACAGAGTAATAATACACAGGGAACTTCCTTTACAAAAGTATCTAGAAAGAAGTTTATTTTAAATCTATGGGAAGAATTCTGCCTTTGCTTTAGTTTAGATGTGAACAGTGCTTAAAAATGAAATACATATTAAGATAAAATTTAAGTCGAATAAATAATGTCTAATCTACAGTGTAAGTAGTAAGTTACAAAAGAATGCTTACAAATAAAAACATTTAAAAGTTACCTTCAGATATGCTATGTATCACTTGTTTTACATCCTAAATAAGTGTTTGTATTTGCTAAGAATTTAAGTGACTTTTATGACTACCACATTAGCAATTTAATACCTGATTATAATTTTAAGTACTGATTAGCAATAAAAAATTTGACTATGCTTCAACTCTTACAATTAGGGAGGAAGACAGGAAAGCATAAGGGGAGGGGGAGAGGGAGAATGAGGAAAAAGGAGAGAGACTGACTTTGAGAAAGAGAGAAAATAAACTTTGGAATAATTATTTTTTCATCTCTGTACAAATTCTTGTGATCATAAAATTTCTTAGGAAAGTATAATTCTACACTGAGCTTTTGGTCTTTATTCAGATTAGCCTGACCAATTCCACTCTCAGGAAAGTAAGTATTCAGGTAAGTAAAGGAATAATTCTGTGAACCAAGACTTGTAATACCATAAACTCAAAAAAAATTTTAAAAACACAATAAAAAATACACAGCATTCAATGCTGATATAAGACTGCAACTCTTATCCTTTATTCCTGTCAAACTAGTTTTTAAAAGCATGCTTCCTTCATGAATTTCCTTTATAAAAAGTAGATGTATAATTTTTCCCAATTGTTATGCAAATAGAGCTTTTAATGTTTGTTCTAAAGTTAATAAAAATACCCCTTCATTTCTATTTGACCATGATTTAACAATTTTACACCACAAAGGTAAATATCTGCTCCACAAATTTCAAATGATAACTATAGTTAATAAAACTTAAGTCATAAAGCTAAATTCAGAACATGTTCAATTACAGAAGATAACCAAGCATAAACCCAAAGCAAAACATATTACTTCAGTACAGACATTTGACCGATGTTACAGAAATTATTTCTGTACTTGAAAAAAATACCTCATCACAACTCTAAATGTAAACTTAACATCACTGTTGATACCAGTTGTTATTCATCAAGGAGTTAAGGCATACAGAAAACATAATATAAATCATTAGCTGAAATATCAATTCAAAATTTTGTACAGTAAATATTGCTTACCATATCGGTGTTTTCTTTGCCTAAGAATAAAAGATAATTCAGAAATCTTAAAAGACAAAAATATTAAATAAAGCTATAGTTACAATAATTTTTTAATGGATATGTAATATAAAAGGATGTAAACTGTAATAAAAAACATAAAATGTATGTTTGAGGGGGTAAAAGTGTAAAGTTTTTGTATGTGAACAAAGTTAAATTGTTATCAGCTTAAAACAGACTGTCATAACTCTAAGATGTTGCACAACACTACAATCTATAGTTGGTACACAAAAGATAAAAGAATCAAAGTTTACAGAAAACAAACAAATCAAACACACACATACACACACACACACAGAATACAGCGAGAGAGGAAGAAACGGAAGATTCACAAAACAGCAGAAAATAATCAACAAGATGGAAACAGCAAGTCCTTATCTACTAATAATTACCCTGAATGTAAATGGATTAAATTCGCTAATCAAAAGACATAAAGTGGCTAACTGGACAAGAAAAGAAGACCCAACTATATGCTGCCTATAAGAGACTTGCTTTAGCTTTGAGAACATATATTAATTGAAAGTGAAGGGTGGGGAAAAAATGTATTCCATGCAAATGGTAAGCAAAAGAAAGCAAAAGTGACTATTCTTATACAAGACAAAATAGATTTTAAGTAAAAAAAAAATTGTAAAAACAAGAAAAGGTTAATAGGTTATTGTGTAATAATAAAGGGGTCAATTTCTCAAGAGGACATAGTAAGTATACATGAATTCAACATTGGAACATAAATATAATGTAAATATTAACATATCCAAAGCAAGAAACATAACAATACTGTAACAGTAGGGGACTTCAATATTCCAATTTCGACAACAGATAGATCATTCAGACAGAAAATTAGACTTGAACAATTGTTCAATCCTATAATGGACCTAAAAATTATACAGGAAACTCCACACAGGAGTAGCAGAATACACGTTTTCCTCATATGTCCATGGAACATTCTCCAGGATAGATAATTTATTAGGCCACAGAATAAGTCTTATCAAATTTAAAACTGAAAATCATATCAATTGTCTTACAATAATGGTATAAAACTAGAAATAATAGGATTAAATTTGGAAAATTTACAAATATATGGAAATCAAATTATACATTCCTGAACAATTAATGAGTCAAAGAAAAAAATCAAAAGTGAAATCTCCAAACTAATGAAGACTAAAATACAACATACCAAAACTTACGAGATGCAGCAAAAGCAATTCTAATAAAGTACATAGTGACAAACATCCACATGAAGAAAAAAGAAAGCTCTCAAATATAATACCTAATTTCATACCTAAAGAACTAGGAAAGGATGAACTAAATGAGTCCAAAGTTAGTAGAAGAAAATCACAGACTAGATGAATAATAAATGAAATAGACACTAGAAAAAAAAAAAACCCAACAAAACTAGGTTGGTTTTTTGACAAGACAAAATTGACAAACCTTTAGATAGACTAACCAAGGGTGGGAAGGACCCAATTAAAATAAGAAATGAAAGAGGAGAAATCGTAACTGGTACCACAGCAATACAAAGTAACCTAAGAAACTGCAGGCATTCTTTGTTTTAGTGGGTGTTTGCTTTACTGCACTTTTTAAACTTTTTTTAAAAAACAAATTGAAGGTTTGTGACAACCCTGTATTGATCAAGTCATTTTTTCTAACAGCTCAGATGGTCATTACCATTTTTTAGCAATAGTTTTTATGTTTTATCTATCTATCTATTTATTTTGAGGTATTAGGGATTGAACCTGGGGCTTATACATGCAGGCACTCTACCACTGAGCTACATCTCCAGCCCTAGCAATAGCTTTTAAATAAAGGTATATACATTGTTTTTAATACACAAATCTATTGCAAATTGAATAAATTTACAGTATAAACATAATTTTTATATGCACTGAGAAACAAAAAGTATGTGTGACTGGCTTTACTGCAATATTTGCTTTATTGTGGTAGTTTGCACCAAACTCTCAATATCTTTGATAGATGCCTGGACTATGAGTAACTATAAACCAACAAATTGGATAACCTAGAAATAATGGATAAATTCCTTGAGAACTGTTATTTAGTGAAATTTTTAGGTTTATGTGTATTTATTCAGTAAAGCAAAATATCTAAAGCATAGGAAAATACATGGGAGAAAATTAAAATCATTCATTTTTCAACAAAGAAATACTGAGTGTCTACTACATGCCCTGTTCTGTTTGGGGGAATTCAGCAATAATACCAAATAAATTCTCGTTATCATGAAATATATGGTGAACAGAAATAAACAAACCGTTAAACAGAGACAAGGTCAGTGGTTTAAAAAAAATAAAGTAGGTAATCAGTGCAGAGTTAAGGGAAGGAATGGATACTATTTTTTTGAAGTAGAGTGGTTAGCATCTCTAGCAATCATAGAAATGCAATTTAAAACTGAGTTTTAATCTCACTCCAGTTTCAATCTCACTCCAGTCAGAATGGAAATTATCAGGAATACAGGTTACAATACAGGATGCAGAGGAAAGGTACTCTCATACACTACTGGTGAGCTGCAAATTGGTGCAACCACTATGGAAAGCAATATGGAGAGTCCTCAGAAAACATGGAATGGAACCACCATTTGAACCAGTTATCCCACTCCTTGGTAGATACCCAAAGGACTTAAAATGAGCTTATTACATTGACATAGTCACATAAATATGTATAGCAGTTCCTTTCACAATAGCTAAGCTATGGAACCAACCTAGGTGCCCTTCACAGATGATTGGATAAAGAAAATAAGGTATATATACACAAGGGAATTTACTCAGCTATAAAAAAGAATGACTTTATGACTTCTGCTGGTAAACGGACAGATCTGGAGATTATCATGCAAAGTGAAATAAGCCAATCCCCCAAATCCAAAGGCCAAATGTTATGTTTTGGATGTGAGGTGTCCCCAAAAGTTCACATGTGAGACAATGTAAGAAGGTTCAGAGAAGAAATGATTGGGTTACCAGAACATTAACTCAATCAGTGAATCAATCACCTGATGGGATTAATTGAATGGTAACTGAAGGTTGGTGGGATGTGGCTGGAGGAGGTGGGGCATTGGGTTCGTAGCTTTGGGTATATATTTTGTATCTGTAGAGTCTCTCTCTCTGCCTCCTGATCATCATGTGTGCTGCTTCCGTTCTGCCATATGATGTTCTATATGATGTCCTGCCTCATCTTGAGCCCTGAGGAATGGAGCATGCCGTATATGGATTGAGACCTCTGAAAGCATGAGCCCTTAAATAAACTTTTCCTCCTCTATAGCTGTTCTGGTTGAGTCCTTAGTCACAGCAGCATAAAAGCTAAAACATGGAATATGAGGATACTAACACACAATAAGGCGGGGGAAGGAGCAGGGAAGATCAGAAGTTCAAAGGATTAGATAAAAGCACATACAATGAGGGGAGGGGTTGGTAATAGGAAAGACAGTAGAATGAATTGGACATAACTTTCCTTTATTCATATATGAATATACCTCAGTGCACATCTCCACATCACTTAGATGTGTTCACTTAGGTCCCACAAGAATAAGTTATATTCCATGTATGTATGTCAAAATAAACTCTACCATCATATATGTCTAAAAAGAACAAATAAAAATGATTTTTGCTATGAAAAAAAAATAGAGTGGTTAGGGAAGTCCTTTCTGATAAATGATATTCAAGCAGAAACTTCAAGTGAATTAGCAAATAATGCATACATCTTGAGGAAGAGCAATCCAGAAGGAAAAGCAACAAGAAAAACCCCAAAAGAACATGTTCAACCCTTTGAAGGAAAAGCCAAGAAGCAGATGTGGCTAGAGAAAGTAAACACAGGATCAGAGGTAGAAAATTAAAATTAGAAAAATGGAAGTTGGGAGATGGGAGACTTTGTAGATCATGCTAAGAACTTTGGATTTTACCCTGCCAAAACCACTGGAAAAGTTGTGCAGAAATGACCTACAATTTTGTATTAAATAGATTTCTCTGGCAGTGTGTGAATTTAAAGGACTTTTAGGATGCAAAAGTGGAATTAAGAGGTCAGTTAGGAAGATATTTTAATAATGGAGGTAAGAGATAGTGACAACTTTTAAGACTTCAGTCTAATTTTCCCCAGTCTTTTGTTTGTGTGTTAGAGGTTACACATAATTAAGATAACTTGGATTAAGAGACAGATGTATACAGTTTAGAATTTTCCTTTCTGCATATGAAATTACATTTCTCATGCAATTTAAAATTCTCATAAAAGATAGCAATAACATATTTGGCAAATATTTTTTCTTGGTTTCTTACATACTTATAAATTTATTTAAGCATTAAACAATATATTAAAATTGTCTCTTTTATTTTCTTTTTTGTTAGTGCTTTGGATCAAACATAGGGTAGGCATCTATCACTAAGCTATACTCTCAGTCCATTATATTGAAACTTTCAATCAAATATGAGAAACATCATTACAATTGAAATGTTAAAATCTAAGAGAATGTTTAATTAAATAACCATGTACCTACAGGTTGGAATGCTATGCAGTTATTAAAAATAACACTTAAATTATTTTCAAGATGGGATAATGTTTATACAGTGAAAAATGCAAAAAGGATTATGCTGCACATACGAAATATTCCAACTATATGAAATCTACATCAAAAATATTAGAAGAAAATAAAACTATTATTTCTGGGTGGCGAGATCATGGATATTTTTATTTTTTCCTTCTCCTTTTATTTTCATTTTATTCTGGTACTGGAGATTTAACCCAGGGGTGCTCTTTACTACTGAGCTACACCTGCCAGTCTTTTTTGTTATTTTGAGACAGGGTCTCACTACATTGCTGAGGATGGACTCAAACTTACAATCTTCATGTCTTGGCTTCTTGAGTTTCTGGGATAACTAACAGGTACGTGCCACCACACCAGGCTTATTTACTCCTTTTTAGTTTGTATTCTTCAAATTTTCTACAGTGAACTGCTATTAATGATAAAATTAAGAAGTAATTCATATTT